ATGTTTCTGGGAGTTTTCATTTGGGGATCTCTTTCAGGAGGTGAATGGTGGATTCTTTCAATTTCTATTTTACCCTCTGGTTCTAGAATATCATGGCAGTTTTCCTTGATAATTTCTTGAAAGATGATGTGTAGGCTCTTTTTTTGATCATGGCTTTCAGGTAGTCTAATAATTTTAAAATTATCTCCTCTGGATCTATTTTCCAGGTCAGTTGTTTTTCCAATGAGATATTTCACATTGTTTTTTATTTTTTCATTCTTTTAATTTTGTTTTATTGTTTCTTGATTTCTTATAAAGTCATCAGCTTCCATTTGCTCAATTCTGATTTTTGAAGAATTATTTTCTTTAGTGAGCTTTTGAACCACATTTTCCATTTGTCCAATTCTGCTTTTTTAAGGCATTCTTCTCCTCATTGGCTTTTTGTACTTCTTTTTACCATTTGGCCTAGTCTGTTTTTTAAGGTGTTCTTTTCTTCAATATATTTTTGTGTTTCCTTTACCAAGCTGTTGACACTTTTTTTTCATGATTTTCTTGCATCACTCTCATTTCTCTTCCCAGTTTTTCCTCTTTCTCTCTTACTTGATTTTTAGAATCATTTTTGAGCTCTTCCATTGCCTGAGAACAATTCATATTTTTCTTTGAGGCTTTGGATGTAGGAGTTTTGACTTTATTATCTTCTGAGTGTGTGTTTTGATCTTCCTTGTCATCGTAGTAACTTTCTTTGGTCAGAATTGTTTTCTGCTGTTTGCTCGTATTCCCAGCCTATTACTTGACTTACAACTTTATTAAAGTAGGACTCTTACTTCTTATTATGTTATTTTCATTTATTATTTATTATTATTCATTATTGTTATGATTATCATTTATTGAAGTAGGCTTCAGGGTGGAGGGTGACTGTCCCAAGCTTCAGGGTTTTTGTGCAACTGTTTTCAAAGATACTTTTAGGGACCTGTAAGTTTTCAGTTCTTCCAAGGTGGTATGATCCAAGGAGAGGTATTTACTACTCTCCTGGCCTGTGCTCTGGTCTGTGAGTGACCACAAGCGCTCTTTTCTGCCTTGGAACTGTGAGGAGGGTCCTCATTCCACTGTGGCTGCAAGCTCTGGTGTGCTAGTGCTCCTCCTTGTCCTGGGACTGCCATCCAGATCTAAGTATGGGCAAAGCGATAGAGTCCTGCCTCAGTGCTAGCCACGAGACCCCTGTACTCTCCTTCTGACTAGTTGTTTGACCCCCTCATCATCTGTCGGATGAGAGCTGCAGAAGCAGCCACTGCCTCTGCTGATTCAGTGGCTCTCAAGGCCTGCTCCTGGTTTGCTGGGGCCGGGGCTGTGCTGGTGCAGCTTGTGTTGGACTGTGCTCCACTCTCACCCTGGTGCAACCGACCTTTCCTACTGACCTTCTAAGTTGTCTTTGGCATCTATGGGTTAAGAGGTCTGGAAGCTGCCCCTGCTGCCGCTGATTCAGTCACCCTGAAGCCTGCTCCTAGTTTGCTATGCTGGACTGAGCTCCTCTCTCTCCCTGGTGCAACAGACCTTTCCTGCTGATCTTCTAAGTTATCTTGGTCTGGAAAAGGGTTTCACTCCATCTTTTTGAAGGTTCTGCTGCCTTAGAATTTGTTTAGAGTTATCATTCATAGGTATTGGAAGGATTTGGGAGAGAGCTCAGGAGAGTCCCCGTCTTTACTCTATCATCTTGGCTTTGCCTTTCGAGTGTCCAGAGATCTTGAATTAGTACACATAACCTGACTGGCTCAGTCAAGTCACCTTTAGCATCTCCTTCCCAATTATTACTGGAGTGACACTCCCTCTTTATTTTACCGTGTCTATGTAGAAAAAAGCCAAAAGGCAGAAACTTCCCAAAGTACAGTAAAAGAAATTGAGGGTCATCTTGCCAGTGGGCAAAGTAGTCCTTAGGGTGGCGTACTCTAACAGGTTTTCAAAATAGTGAAGCTCACAGAAACACTAGTTTATTCTTTTAGTCTGAGTTTCATTAAATCACATTAAAGTTGAAGCAAATTGTTCCCCCCGCCCTTGATATTTCAGTAACAGAATAGTTTTAATAAAGGAATTAGGAATTTTGCAATTTGAAGGTCTTTTTGAGCTATCTCCTTCACACTGACATTGTAGATGTCTATTCTAGGTAGAACACTTGATCGTAGCTAGTTAGTGGGAAATAGTTATGGAGGTCGCAGAAAACCTTATTGCTCCTAAACTTTAATTAAAGTGATGGTCTTTCACAAGATAAAAGACTAATTAGGCTTCATCTCCATATTATGTAGCTAGAAGATTTAAAAGCTTTGGCAAGACAGTGTTAATTAACAAAGTCGTCAGCATGACAGCAGTTCTTTTCTGAACAGTGAAATACATCTTAATTTCCTTTCAACTGGAAAGTTTTATGGCTTTGTCAGTTTGTGGTTAAATAGGGAAAATATTTAAAAATCCTGAATTTATCATATGTGCATGTGAAAATCATTAAGGTAAAGAGACTATGAGATCCAGAAGATATTTGTTTTATCCTGAAGGGATAGATTAAGTTTTAATCATTAATGTATTGATGATAATCTATAATAGCATATAACTTAATCTCTGTTTCTCTTGAAAGCTTTAGAACATATTTTGCAAAACTTGTTTTTGAATAAGGATTTTCTTTTTAGCATACCATGTAAATCATCAGGCAGCATTTTCTACAAGACCTCTGAGGAGGTAGATCTCACCAACTCCTGAGCCAGCCCATTCATTCTACTTTTAGACACTATTTTTTTTGAAGTTTTTCCTTACATTGAGTATAATTTTGCCTCTTTGTAGCTTCCAGACATGGCTCCTAGTCCCATCCATTGGAAAAGGCAAGAACAAGTGGTCCTGAAAAACAATCCGCCATTTTTTTTCAGTACGTACCTTAGGAGATAGCTCATTTAAACTAGGTGACTTGAATTCATCAGGGCTAGCCCTTTGGTTTCTTAAAATCTCTTTACTTTCCTGTTATCTATCTTTGTCTTGTCCTTTCCAGTGTATCATATATTCTCCTTGGTAGACGAAAAATAAATGGAGCTGAACAGCTTTGTCTTTTTCTTTTTTTCTTTTGCCATTGATTATACTCATCCATTCCACTCCAAGTAGCATTCTTATCTCTTCTTTGATATTCAATATAGCAAAATCAAAGCAAAAGAAAAAAAATGTTATCCTTAGTCTTCTTCACCAGTATCAGCTCATTCTGGGCTTCAACACTTCAGCCATTACTCTTAGAGGAGTTTACCACATTTTTCTATTCATCCTTCATTACCTTTGCTTTCATAATCTATATCTGTCTTTGAAAAATCTAAGTTTGTTTAGAATTTTCTGTGCATCCACATCAGTACCTGTAGATAGTATATTTCCCTTTTGTTTTGGTATTGTTTTTCTTTTGGAATTTAATTCTTTGGGAGCTTTTCATCCTACTTCAAATGATTTTTGTGGAAGAATCTGAGTCCATGGGATCCATCCTATCCTTTTTCTAAACTTATGTTAAATCGAATGTTCTCCATACTAGGGTGAATATTACCATATCCCTATATTCCCTCTCCTTTTCTAACTATGAACCCAACCACGACACTCTTTGGTTCATTGGCTCACCATTGCTTTTCTTCAGCTTAGCATCCAAAATATTTCATCTATGACTCCAGCCCACCATTCCAGACTTATTTCACATTCTTCCCTTTCACAGACTATTTGTGTGTATAAACCTATGAAATCTACTTGTTATTCCATGAATCTAAACTATCCATCTTCTGCCTCCATGCCTTTGCATAGATTATTTGCCATAGGTTTTAGTTCTTCATGCATCTTCAAATAATCATAAATAAATTTATCTGTTTACATGTTGTAACTGCCCAGTGGAATGTAAGCACTTTAGGGAGCAGTATTTGCTTTTATTTTATCTTTGTCTCCAGTGCTTAACATAGTATATACATGTAAAAGGTACTTAATAAATTCTTGTTGGATTGGACTATCTGTATCCTAGAATTTAGTATGGAGTGGTGACTTCCTCTCAAGATTGCTATCAATAGGAACATCAATATGTAGTGCTGCTCCTTCAGAGGTAGATTGAATCCATCATCTTAAATACTGTCTGAATTTCCTTGGGCTTGATGCTTTAGGCTTCGGACTTCTATAATCATTCCTCATTGTCATTGAAAGGCATTTATTTGACTGTCTAATCACTTGGTTGATTTTCTACTGGGTCACGTATAAAAGAAGTTTAGATGGGCCAATCCTCTTGGGAATTTATAATATGAAATAAGACTGACACAGTAACCGAAAAAAAAAGATATGTAGACACATATAACTATATAAAAATCAGTGGATATGAAAATTCAGGGTTCTTCTGTATATGCCTCCTGGGAAATATGTTACAGTGTAGAGTTGAGACTGGACTGAATTGTGGGACTTTTTCTAGGGAATACCATGTTTTCTAGTTTCAGAGGAATAGTATGGCAGAGGGGGTAGGATTTCAGGAACTAATAGAAATAATCATAGCATTTGTTGCTAAATCTTCAGGTCAGTCGTAACCTGAGAGAATTTTGTAATTGCTAACAAACATCTTTTTTTCTCATCATTTTAGAAATATAGTTGCCTGAGTATGTTTTATTCTGACATAAGCCCTCCCCCTTGAATTGCTTTCTCTTCATTATTCACTGGGAACATGCTTTAAAAGTCATTCAATTAATTATATAATCCACCTCACCCCAGATACAGTACATTTTTGTAATTTAGTACTTGTTTGTATTTTTATTAATTGTATTAATATTAATTGTAATAATTGTAATATTAATACAATTTATTAATTGTAATAATTGTATTAAATACTTGTTTGCATTTTAGTTGTTTTATTGTTTAATTATTTTAAAATTTATGTGTTAGTTATTTTAAATAGTTATAGTTATTTTAAAATTTTATCATGTGTCCTCATCTCCAATTGTTTTAAAATAAAACTAAATATCGTGGTTTTCTGTTTCTTTGTTTTAAAGGAATAACTACTGTTCTGACAATGACAACTCTGAGCATCAGTGCCAGGCATTCCTTGCCAAAAGTGTCCTATGCCACTGCCATGGATTGGTTCATAGCTGTGTGCTTTGCCTTTGTGTTCTCTGCCCTCATCGAGTTTGCTGCGGTCAATTATTTTACTAATGTCCAAATGGAAAAAGCCAAAAGGAAGCCATCAAAACCCCAGCAGGAACTTTTGGCCCCTTCGGTTCAGAAAGAAAAGTGTTCTGATGAACCACTTAAGGTATTTGATGTGTTTTCTCTGTGGTCTGGTCCTCTGTTGCAAGGATAGAGTTGATAAGGAAGGAGATACCTGGTGCCTACCAGTATGCCATTTCTAACCCTAGGAAACAAAACAAAATAACACATCTGTCCAAGTTGGGAGGCTTGACAAACTGTGGTCCATAATGAAAAACCAAAGCAACTTAACAGCTGTGCCGTGGGAATATTCAATTCAACTCAGCCGTATTTATTAATCGCTAACCATGTGCCAGGTACAAGGCTAGTGCTAGGGATACAAAGACAAAAAATAAATGCTTCCTGTCCCTGTCCTTATATTCTTCTGTGTGACACAACATGTACAGAGATAAATATATACAAAATCAATATGCAGTAAACTAAATGTAACTTCAGAGCAGTACAAAGAAATGGGGAAATCATCCTAAGGACAAGACTCTAGGAGATAGATTATCCTTTTCATTTACAGGGTAGAACTGGAGCTGGGTGATAGAGGAAGAGTGAATATGTGAGGGCTATTGCTGTGTGGGTCTTAAGGGGGTTCTGCTAAAAGTGGCCTGCATGATCACAGTGCCTAGTATGTTTCCAGTCGTCATTTCATCACTGTAAGGCACCTGTGGGAAATTTCTCTCTCCAGCCAAGCAGAAACCTTGATGGAGTAGAGAATTGCTAGGGATGCAAATGGGAAGTAATGACTACTCTTTGCATGCTTAGGAGAGGAATTAGTTCTGTCCTATGCTCTAGTAGGTAGAATATGTTTTTATAAGTCCATTCAGGGTTAATTCAATTTAAGAAATATGTATTAGGAACCTGTCAAGTGTGATGTGCTGTGCTAGGCATGGGAGATACAAATATGAAACAAAACAGTGCTGTCTCAAGGAATTTACAATTTAGTGGGTTACTGTGTGTCTCATTAAGAAAAATAGGCTCAACATGTTTCTAATACTGTGCTATTACATAATGAAATCAAAGGCACAGAAGTGAATTTCATTACAAGAAAATAAAAGGAACAGTGAAAAAAATATGTTAGGAAACAAATGCCCATGGAAAATTTGTGATGCGTGGACATATCTTTGAAAGGCAGGTTAACTGCTTTTGGTGTTACTAAGCATTTTATTTATTTCTCAGAAATATAATAGTTGGCATTAACTTAGTGCTTTGTGGTTCACAATTTCCTTTCCTTCCAAATATTTGTTTTGGGGTGGCTGCTGTGATCTCATCAGTATAGGAAACAATTGCTGTGGAAAATCCCTTTATCAAGATGGATCATATGATAACTTCTCTTTAATATAGATTCATAGAGGCTTGCTCAGAGCTCTGAGAGGTTAAAATTTGTCCATGGTTACACACAGTTAAGATGTTACCAGAGGTTAGATTTTAACCAAAGACTTCCTGACTCTAAGGCCAGTCCCTTGTCACACTCACTAAGACACTATGTCTTAGTATAAATACTTTCTCTTTTCATAGGTGAAACTGAAGACCAAAGAAATAAATGACTCACCTAGTTTCACCATTAGTACATTTCTGAACATAGACTAGGACCCAGGGCTCCTATGCCTTAGACCTACACCCCCCTTATTATTTTATACGCCTCTCTAATTTTGGCCAAGTCATTTTGCACTGATAGGGAAGAGAGAGACAAAGTAGAGAGGCTATTGAGAGTTATTGAAGCATGTTTACTTTTTGAGACAGTAGGTCTGAAATAAGCAGTCCTGTGACTTGAGGGACATTCATATGTTTTTCTTCATCTTTAGCACATGGTAAGTCAGAGGTAGTTACTGATAAATTTACTTAATGCAGCTAAATTCCTCAGATGTACCTTCCTTAGAATTGTGTATCTTGAGGAATATACTTGGGGAAGGAGCTTATTTCGGCTGTGCTAATTTTTAAAAGTGCAATTACATTTTTATTTTTGTAAATACAATGCTTAATCTCTATTCAATGCTTGCCACAATTTTTTTCATGCTATAATTTCTTTATTTTCCAAATCATATAATCCATTTCTTATTGTGATTAACTTTTCTTGAATAGAGGTGGTTGTACTATAAATACTGACATGCAATTGATAATTATATTCCCTTAGGCAGGAGGGAGGGGGAACTATAGTAGTTAATTATAACATGTATTTGCTTTATATGATTTACTGCTTCTTTGTTCCACTTAATCATTTTGCAATTTCTTAAATGATACTGTACTAATTTATCAAAAAAGAAAATACACAAAAATGAGATCTATAAATATAGATATATATAGATACATATGCATACATATATATGTAGATAGGTAGATTTATCATATCTCTGTCTCTATTTTTGATGGCAATCTTCAGTTTTTTGGTGGGTTATAATGTGGTTGAAAGATTAGATATTTTCTGTTTTTCCCTGGGGGCAGAACAAGAAACAATAGCTGAATATTAAAGATAGAAAAATTTTGTTCAATTCAATTCAGTGAAACATTTATTAAACACCCACTATGTGAGAAGCTTGAAGGAAAGGGGCAAAAGTCTTCCTAACAATTAGCACTATCCAGAATTGCAATTGATTGCTTTGAAGTGTAGTGGGTTTCCCTTCATTTCATGTTGTTGTTCAGTCATTTCAATTGTGTTTGACTCTTCATGACCTTATTTGGGGTTTTCTTGGCAAAGATACTAAAGGGGTTTGCCATTTCCTTCTGCAGCTCATTTTTAAATGAGGAGACTGAAGCAAATAGGATTAAGTGACTTGCCCAGGGTCACATAGCTAGTAAGTGTCTGAAACCAGATTTGAACTAAGATGAGTCTTTCTGACTCAAGGCCTTGTCCTCTATCCACTGCACCAACTAGCTGCCCTTCATTCCATACCTTCAAGCAAAGAAAGGCTAGATAACCCCTTGTTGGTAATGTTGTAGAAAGGATTTTTGGTCAGGACCAGGTTGAGCTAAGGTTGTTGTAGTCCCTTCCAACACTGAGATTGTATGAATCTATTTTTCTGTGACTTTAATCCCATTTTCATTGCCTAAAGTAGAGTGATCCATCAGTAGTTTACAAAAATATGTATGTGTTGTATCATGGTAAAAATGCACCTTCGCCATAAACAGGCTTAGGTATGTCACCATAAGGACTTGCATGTGAAAAATTGTATACAAAGGATAATGAAGGATAAAGATAAGGAGTTCTGGAAGAGAACTGAGATATCACAGATTTACAGCCCAAGTGTTATCGTTATGATATAAAAGAAGAAGAGGAAGGCCCCTAGTAAACTGTGTACTGTTGTACTGGGGAAAGATCAATGGATCTGGAGTCAGAAGACTTAAGTCTGAATTTCCATTTTTGATTTTTCTACCTGTGTGACCTTAGGCAAGTGACTTAATTACTCTATCTCACATTCCTCCTCTTTATACTCTAGCATTAGATTAGCTGAGGACCCTATCAGCAATAGATACGATTCTAACATCCTTGGAGGGTTTATGGTGAATAATGGACATAAATTAAATAGAATGAGAAGGCACACTATTCAAACAGTTGTTCTGATCTCCATCAGTAGAAATAGTACCTACACTGATGAAATAAAAAAAATCATTAAACCATCACTCCATTGATAAAATCAGATAACAAGTATGTTTGATTTATTGCATAAAATGCATAGTAGCATTGCCTATTTATCATTCATTGATTCTATAAGTAGATGGATTCCTTAATATATAACATGGTGGAGTTAGGGGCAGCTAGAGAGTGATAGTGGGTAGAGTCTACAGGCCTAAAGTCAGGAAGACCTGAATTTAAATCTTATTTTAAATACTTATTAGCTATCTGACCCTGGGCAAGTCACTTAATCTCTCTTTGCCTCAATTTCCTCATCTGTAAAATGAGGATAATGATAGCACCTATTTTGCATGGTTGTTATGAAGATAAAATTAGATAATTGTAAAGTGTTTAGCACAGTGCCTGGCACATAATAAGTACAATATAAATGTTAGTTTTTATGTTATTATTTTATTATTGTTATAGTGGATTTATATGTAACATGCTTCATTTATATACAAAAATGACACTACTGATACAGTAGAACTTGTATCTTTAGTTTATCCACTAATGGGAGTAGGTTTATATGACCCATTCCCCTGACTCTCTTGAGACCAATGACATATATTTGTGACTTCTATCTGAAATGTGATGCAATTTTTTGTTTTTGGAAAAACAAACATTATTTGGCTCATAATTTATATGTGATTTCTTTACCACCTGCTTAGTTCTTTTGGGCTTATTTCCTGTCTTAGGAGCCCCCAGGTAGCTTGACTACATCTCATTATTTTTCTGGCTACCATTGAAAGGGGAAGAAATAAAGCATGTCTTCCATTACAACCCCATCCTCAAAGTTCTGATTGTTTTTATTTTATACCAGCAGCGAAGAAACAGAGTCAGGCGGAAGGAGGAGGGAAAAAAGGAGATGGAAATAATGGTTTCTGAGAAGCATTGGTCTATTCTGTCACCTTAGCGATAAACTTGCCATATTGCTGACATCAGGGTGGTATCACTGAAACCTTCCTATTTAACATTCTTAGCTGGCCTGAAAGTGCCATGTAGGAAATGGAATGGTCAAAATAACATTGCCTTCTGTTTTTGTTGTTCTGAGAAGGCGTGCAGAGAGGGCAGGAAACATGGATCAAGGGAATAGGCTGGTAATTCTGAGCCCATAGGGACTGTGCAGGGACAGAAAGGGAGAAATAGGAAGACTGAATGAATACTGTTCTAAAATATTGGTTTTCAAATTCAGCATGGAGAAGTTTCAGTTAGAGAATTAAACAAACCCTGGATATACAATGATTAAGTGGACTTTGCTTGTGAGAAGAAAGGCAGATATCATGGAGTCCTAGTAATAGCTTTGGTTTGAAGGAGAGGTCACGTGGTGCTTTTCTTGGATCTTTATCAAGTCTCCTGTTTATTGATGCAAGTATGAGTGACAAGAAAAGGAATCTTGTCCATTGGTGGCTTCTGCATCAGACTGGTCTATTGTCTTCTGGCCAAACCAA